TCTCAGCCTCCTGAGTACCTAGGATAATAGGCTTGGGCACCTAGCTTGCTCAATTTTTTTCTATTGGCAACAGATACAATCTGTTATTTTTTTTTTTTACTGAAATAACATGGTTATTTCCTTTATTTTGGAAAAAGTGAGTATGGAGTATCCATGTTTGGGTAAGCATAGTTTGCCTATCATTCTTGCAAGTTGTAGTCTGGTTCCAGCATTGCAGCTCCTTGTCCAAGCCTCAGCCTAGCCCCTCATAAGTGCCACTCTATGTTCAGCAGAAATGCTTTACCCGCTTCTCATTTTCCCACCCAGGATAGGAAAGTGTATTAACTCAGGGTAAAGCTCCAATAAAATAACTGTTTTAATTGCTTTATTGGGACATTTCCTTGAACTTATGTGGGCTTGTGTATGGGGCGAGGGAGGCGGGGAGAAGGGAGGGGGCTGTGGATCTTTCACCACAGCAGTTTGTGACACGTGGCCAAAGCCCTAGCATTTCTTTACCCACAGTAGCTTGCACTAAAAGTGTGACTGTCAGCACAGTGAAAGGGCAAATAATCTCAGTTTTGTTTTCATAGAAAGTGAGCTACGCTGTAGTCCAGAGAGAACCACTGTAGCATGCTTAGATTGCTATTGTTCGCTATGCTCACATAAGCTATTTTGTATTCACTTCCTATTCTTTCAGCTGGTGGTTAAACTGGCACCTCACCGGCACCTCATTTTTCCTTTCTTCATTATCCCAGTGTAATCATAGCCTATTGCTGCTTTTAAAAAGTGGTTAGTGCTCTACAAAGTATTTAGTGTTTACTCTCTAAGTTATTGTGTATTATTCACTACCAAGCCTAGGAGGGTAAAATGATTATTTCCTTGTTTGCATGGTCAGCCCTCAGCATCCTCAGAGATTGGCTTCAGAGACTGTCTCCCTGGTATATGTCAAAATCTGAAGATGCTCAGATCCCTTCTATATGATGATTCACAACAGTGGCTAGCTACTCAAGAGGCTGAGATATTAAGATCATAGTTCATAGTCAGCCAGGGCAGACAATTAAGGAGCAAAAAAGCCAGAGGTAGAGCTAGGGCTCAAGTAGTAGAACATTAACCTTGAGCAAAAAAAGCTCAGGGATAGCACCCAGGCCCTGAGTTCAAGAACCAGGACTGAAATACACACACACACACACACACACACACACACACACACACACATTAATTTATTATCTAGGATTAAGGGCATGACTTAATGATAGTACACCTGCCTAACAAGCATGAGGCCCTGAGTCCAAACCCCATCTCTCTCTCTCTCTCCCCCCCCCTTTCTCTCTCTCTCTGTCACACACACGTACACACACACACAGGTGAAGTGAGAGAACATAATAATTATTGAGAATTGGTTGTAAAATTTAGCTTTGTGTAGGAGGTAATTTCTAAACCAAGCATTGATGGATGAATTATGTTTGCTATTGCTGCAAATCAGAGGAAGAAAATCTCAGAGAGCAAACCTTAAGCAGAAAGTTGAACATGGAGGGGACTGTGACATATCCATGGAACAGTGGAGGACAGCTTGAGTGTTGGGAAGTGGCTGGGTATGTGTGTTTCCTTTAATGTACCATAAAAATGATGAGAGGGAAGAATTAAAGCATAGGGCTGGGAAGGTGGCTCAGTGGTAGAGCGCTTGCCTTGCATGCCTGAGGCCCTGGGTTCGATTCCTCAGCACCACATAAGCAAAAA